CTGGCTCGCGCTCGATGAATCCGTGTCGCGTAGCATGAACGAGAATCACTCGAGGATTCTGCGAGCTGTGGAGATAAGGAAGTGTGGGTAAGTGGCGATGATGGAAACAGAGTGAGGAGCTATAGTTGCCAAGAAGCTTTTTTAAGTGCGGTTTGAAAGCAGAAGAGAAAAATTACACCGCACCTATGCTATATTAGAGTCAATAGTTCTTGCATTGCGTACGACACGATTGTAAATGTAGGAATATCGATTGGAAGTTCGCACGCGTTTCGGCATTGAAAGCTGCGTTGCTATTGAGAGGGGAAAAATTCACCGACAACTTTTCTATCTTACGCGTAAAAGCTTGAATCCATTAAGGCCGGCAACGCAATATTTCGTTTGCAATTTTGTTTCAATCAATCTACTTTATCGAATTCCTTGAAATTACGAATACAACATTTTCGTTTGTTCCTCCTATCGCATTCATTCTACGATTTTAAGAAGTTTGAAGAAATTAAAGATTTATAGCACAATAATAAATTATTTTCCTGCAAATTAAAAAGCAGCGTACTTTTAAAAAATATCTATTGCGATAGATTTTTCTCAACAACATCTACAGTTTTACAGGCGTCTACATAATTCCACAATATTCCGCTGTTTATTTCTTAATGAATTAGTATAGTTCCTCGAATATTTCGATTAATTCCTATCGCCCTTTTCTCCCAGTAGCCGACTGTTCGCCGTTAACGAGCAGATTTTTTATTGCAGGCGACTAAAGAAGGAAAAAGAAATAGTCAAACTGGCACCGTTCAAGTTTCCCTTTTCAAAAATGTCCAAGTCGCGCAGCAGCGACGAAAAGGACCGTGAGAAGGACAAGGACAAAGAATTGGAATACAAAATGGAGAAGGACAAACATTACGAGAAAGAAGCGGACAAAGGCAGTGACACGGAACACGAGGACGAAGAAAATGCGCAAGAGGACGAGGAGGATAACGCGAATGGACGAAACGTTCAACTTCCAATGAGTCAACTGCAATTGACCACCGAAACTGAATCCAATTTAAACTCGGCGATATTCGATTCCAACAGCCTGATGGTGAGGAACGAACAAGCCATACCGAGCTCCCCTCCTCCTTCTTACGAGCACGTTATCGAACAGGTGAAGATCTGAGTTGACCTAACCGAATAAAAGAGCTAACTCGCTCCGTTTCATTCGATCACCAAAATCTTTAAGATGGAAATACTTGATTCCAAATTTTTCTACGCGTACAGTAAGATCAAAGTTTCTTTTGAGAATATTCCATTGAATATTTCGTCGTTGAATGCTGGAAGTTTTTTAATTTAACTTTTTTTTTTTAAGTAATTTTCGAAAGATGAGAGATTTCTCATTTATTGTTTTAAGTGTTAGGCGAGAGCTTAAGCTTCGTGGTATGATACAGGTTTTTATTGAAATTTTCTATTATACTCTGATGTAATTTTAGACGCGGTTGGAGCACGCAGCCGAGGTTCAGAAATACGAGGGTGGAAAGAACCTCGGGAACGACGCGTCTGGCGAAGATAATAGAACAAAAGCACCCAAGATCCTTCACAAGTCGAGTAAAGAGTTATACAGAGCAGTGGCGAAACAGTGGGGCATCACTTGCAAGATGAGCGACCACTGCAGATGCTTGGACTGTCAGGTAACTTGCCCTTGTACAGCACGAATATCGAATAACCCACATTTTCAAATATTCTACGAATACTTTGTTACTTCTTCAAGACAATATGTGCGTAGTAAAATCGAGAGTACATGCACAGTAGAATTATTAAAATATTTTCATTTGCCTTCAAAAACATTCTTTCAAATTAAGTTCATTTCAAGTTGTTCATACGAATTGAACGAATTCTTCATATACTTATGAGCAGCAATATATATATATATATCAGTAACGTACAATTGAACATGAAAACTCATAAATTGCCTTCGCAGAGCTGTTATTTCGACTGCGAGTACGACAAGAATGAGAACCAGAAGACTGACGGTGGACTAGGCGCCGGCACGCCGATGTTCATTTCCGAAGTGATGCAAGGTTCCGGTTGCGTACTGTTCTAAGACAGCGGAAACGAACCTCCATGGCGACGACACGGTCTTCACCGTGTGCTTCCATAAGGAGCAAAAGTTCACGTGATTGCGCACAAATCAGGTTGACTGTTTCCTAATGGACCGACGAGCCACGAATCAGTTAGTTATTGACCGTCGTCTTATGGCTATTTGGGATGAAATTGCTAATAACATAAACAGCCAGCCAATATTTAAAACTTTATAATCGAAAAAATATATGTAAGTGGACCTTCGTGAATTTTCATTTAGAAGCTCTTGGTTCAGGAAAATTGATCGGCATTACAATTAAAATGATCTCTGTGTGGGAAATATCGAACACTATGCAATGCCCTACAATTTCGAGGGTTTTTAAGAAACAATGGTCATCGAATGATATTGTTGAAAATAAAAAATTCGAATTTGAAGGAAAGCTGTTCAGATAAAAAAATTGCAAGTCGCGTATTTGTGTCCCAAATTTAATTCACGAAGAAGTTCATTCTATAGAGAAAAGCAAATTTTCGTTTTTGAGCATCACAGATGTTGATGAAATTTTTCGAGGTGGTATCTCACGACAATTACCCTTTTCATTGAGAAGTATTTTCGATAATGTCAAGCAAACTGCAGTGTGCTTTAACAAAGAAGTTACTAGAGGAAGTATCGAAGTCAAAAAGAAAGATTTCAACTTGTCAATTGTATACATATTACTCGTTGCATTTTCACTCGGTGGTAAACGATTGGTAAAAGCTCGACCAATTTGTACAATAGGCGTAGAGTTAACGTTTAAACGACCTCGCTGTTGAGATTGTTTAAAAATTCATTGTCCATGTCCGACCGAAATGATACCTACTCGATTCTCAAGAATGTTAATATCGATATCTGAACCGTGTTGCTCATAGATGATGTACATTTAATCTCCCCGGGTCCTATGGATTGAACTTGATTAGCTTGATAAAACTGGACCAATTTGCGATCGTGAATTTCAATTCGAATTCTTCTACTACAAGAGAGTGTGAAATTTTATCGATAGAAGGATTTCATCTGGGGAAATTACAGGAAAAATATACATTAGCGTAAATGTTAGCCATGTTATAAACGCGGTATATAAATAATCGGCGTGTTGTCTCGAAAACTCAATACTATTGTAAATGATCACTTTTATGCTTTGTTACATCGACTTGCTGCGTATTTTCTCTAGCTCGAGGAATGAGACGAATTAATTACAGTTCGAAAACAGTTACGTACATCGTTGATAAGTACATAGATTGCGGATTTTTATGCATTTATGAAAAGATCTAAAGATGCAAAAATGCATAAAATGCAAATTGCATGCAAAAATATGTAAAATATGTAAAACATCTAAAATACTCATAAAAATATGAGTTTCATAAATATCCGCAATCTGTTAATAAAGAATTATAAAATTCAGATAAAACGAAAGTTTCTCTGTCTTTCATAGGCTAAACACGTCTTTTTACCAACTACTTTTATTATTATACACACAATTTACATTTTTCGACAACGATAAACAGGCCTATTATTTAACCATTTCATGTGTTGCCATCTATATACATAAAATAGCATTTTTAACGAACAAACACTATTCAAAGTTTTTCTATCGTCTTTTCGACTCGACGAATCTACTCCAATATAAATAATAAAACATATAAAACTAATTTAGGAAAGCAATATCTATATAATTTACTATGATTATTACAAGTACCATCGACCAATAACTTTTAAGCAAATCTTCGAACAACTAGAAAAATGTTTATTGGATTAACATTGATTTTTCACACAACACGAAAAACCACTTACTCTGCTGAAAGCAAATATTGAATCAAATAGTACCGGCCACTTCCGGTACCGCGTTCTTTCTCAGTCTCCGCGGAACGAACGGCGTTAAGCTGAGAAATTTACGCTAGAAAATTAGAAAGCATTCCCAAAGGAGCAACGGCCGCAATCTCATTCCTCGAGAAAGAAATCGAAAGCTGTCGATTCAATGGCCCCTGTCGATTCTTCCTTGCGGCAAAACGCGCGTAGCTAGATGTGTAATTAACGATTGTAATTTACACTGATTTCCCGCAATACGCGTCCGAGGAAATCGAAACTCGAAACACATGAAAGTATTATAGATCGAGCGTCGAATACGTGTATTCAATGGTGTCTCGTTTGCATCTTTGTTCGCCCTACCAACGATTCTGATTCTTTTATATTTTTAACACGCTAAGTACCACGTTGGTCATCGATGATCGATAGGAAACTTTTCGTGCAGGCTTGAAATTCTCTTCAAATGATTACAATATGTAAGATATTATTTGAAAAATAATATTGCCTAAAAATAATATGCATAGCATATTAATTCATATGATTAATTTGTATTTTATTAGAACTTAATTAGTATACACTTCTTTATACAATCTAGTAATTGTATTGAAGATCTTTTTGAAAAAAGAGTCTATAGATTTACGATAAATGGAAATTTTTGAAATGATCGCGGCACTCAACGCGTTAAACCTCTCTATCGCTTACGATTTTCTTGGGTAAACGATAGTCAAAGTATCGCAAAAATATAGTATGAAGACATTCTTACGACTCGGTAGATTTGGTTCGTTTACTTAAACCCGGTTCGACTTTTCATTTTTTTCTTTCCATTGTTTTAATTCAATTAATTCTGACCTATCGCGCTAACGTAGTTTACCTAGGGATACAACGATATCGATTCTTTGCTGCAACGCGAAAATTCGATTTTACTGCTGTAAAGGCAAGCCTCGGGTCTTCGGGATGAACGCGAGCATCGCAGCTATATATCGTTTTTTCGAGGACTCTATTGTAAATGTTGTACTCGTTGCAACTCATCGAGCGATTCAGCAGCGAGAAGATAAATAAAACTGAGGTAAAAATCTCAAACGACACGATCGTCCAATGGTGAACGTCGATCGGGTCAATCTGAAACATAATACAGTACCTGCCTATACACTTATCTTTTCAAAATACTGTTGTTCAAGATACGAGAGTTCTTTTGTACTTCGCGCCGAAGAAAACACGAACAATATTTCACGTGCGTGAACAGTCGATCCTTCCCGCCATTGTTAAACCTGCTTTTCTATCGGTGAGAAGCATCCTTTTGTACGAATAACGCGCGATCCTTTTACCTACGTGCGCTAAAATGGTAATTTACGTATCGAAAAAAACTTTGCTCCATTTGGAGAAAATTTAAATTTTATTTGACAAGTATAGTAAAATTATTGCTGCCTTTTATAACAAAGATTAAAAGATATAACTTTTTTTCTCAAAAGGTGTAAGAAAAAGGAAAGATATCTAATTCTTGCTTGAAGAAGATTAAAAGTTTATATCGTGTTAAAGGGTTCAAAAAACGATAGAAATATTTTTATATACGTTGAACCAAATTAATCGTTTTCTGACAAACAACCGAATCGATAATTTTCAATTTAACCTTTAATATTAAAGTTGCGTAACAAAAAGGAGCAGGGTATCTCGACGTGAACGACCAGTCGCACAAATTACATAATTTCACTATAGTCAGTGGATCATTTTCACCTGAACACCTGACATACTCTGCACACATTTCATTTACAATTAATCGATTCCTTGCGGAGCTTGTGTATGTGTGTGCGTGGAAAGGGACGAGGTAGAAATCGAAAAACATATAAGAAAAAAATGAAAAAGAGAGAAAAGTGAGATACGTATGTATAGTATTTTTCTGGGCCGCGAATTTTTCATTAAAATGTCATTGCCTTGAATGACAAAACTTGTAACGATTATTATAATCTCTACTATATAATATATTCATGATATGAGACAGTATAATTATGATAACGATTACAACATTTAACAAAGTACTATTGTAAAACGGCCGCGAGACATGATTATCATATATTTAAGACAAAAATAGAATGTATATTACTGTTGGAAATTTTAAAGATATTAATCGAAACAAGTGAAACTATTTGACGATGAAATTCTACAGGAATCCAGCCGTATTTTGAGACTTCTCAAAAAAAAGAAAAGAACTAGTAAGCTGTAACATTTAAAATATTATAATTAGACTGTAGATTTGTATGCATTTGTGGAGAATTTAAATGTGTAAAATATATGAAACGATATAACATACAAAATGTAAAGATACTACTTAAAAGTATAAAAGATATCCAAAGTAAAGTACTCATCCTAATATCTAAAATCTAGAGAATGAAACTAATCTCTGTCTCTATCTAGTATCTAGATACTATTTCTTTAGTTACGTACATAAAAATCTGAATCTACATGAAAATCCGCAGTCTAATTATGATGAGACAGATAAAGAGTTTTTTTAAACACAAAGCTGTTGTAAAATGTCAATTCCCTCGCATCAAAATCTACTATCGTATAATCCAAATACATATTCTACAATTAGTGTATAAGTCGCAGGTTCGAAGGACAGAATTTTTATATCTCAAAATAATCTATGCATTTGTCAAGTGTCGAGTTTTGTTTCAAAAGAGGATTTGTTGATGAGGAGGAAACTATAATTTTGTTCCTTTGTGAGGGGTGAATTTAAACAAGCATGAAACTGTACCATCTCGTAGCCTAACAAGCACACACGCTAACCCGTATATGTGTGTGCTCGCGCGTGTATACATGTCGTTTATTCTGTGTATGTACGTTACATAGAGAGTAAAGTGAACGATTACCTGGTGAATCGTCGTTCCATAGAGAATATTGACTGTAAAACTCGATGTATTCTGGTAAGTTCGCACCAATAAAAAGTGGCCTAAAGTAGTAAAGTTTTCCATTCTGTCTCACCATTTCATCTCATCATTATGTCTGATGACCTATTTTTTCAGAGAGCTCCATAACCACTAAACTAACTAGGCTTTCATCCATCATTGTTTATTAGGGTATCTTTGGCATTAATTATAAAAAAAAGTGTTTCACACGTTTCACGTAATCACGTTTCCTCAAAGATCTTTTATTCGAACATGTAGAGTTACAAGTTGTCGCAATGGAGAACATGTTTGGCATTGGTTGCCTATACACAGGCGCTGTAGAAGCGACTTTTTATTCATATCAATTTAAATATATATGTCGGAGATGAAAGGACATCGGCGCCTTGCTTTTGGAATGTTTGGGAAGGTCCCCAATACTTTAGTCCAGACTTTTTATTATAGCTGCACTTAAATAATAAAACTGAGAAATAGTTGTTTATGATCTAATCCGAGTATGAGTGCCCAAGATTTATGACAGTGGACTTGGGCTCAAAGTGATATAACAGGTCGCTGAACGGTCACGGGAGGAACGTGTATCTAACAGAGGTATGGAGTAATTATAAAGCTCTCCTTAAAAACAAAGATTGACCCGAAGGGTCAGGGAGTACGGAGAGGAGTATACAAGAGCGGTTCCACTTGGACTGAGATTCAGTCTGATAAGTTCTACTTGTACAGTGGACAAGTGCGTTGAGTCACATCAGAATCGTGGATCAAATCGTATTTGTCATCCTGTTGTGGATTCGTTATCGAACCTAAATTCATTGTCATCGACATCTCGATTATCCAATCGCCGCTACTTGTTAAACTCTGTAATAATCACATTTGCATCAGTACAATATCATCTATAGTACATAACAACGATGGCCAATTCACGTGAAGATTCATTATGCGCCCCTAACCCCAATGATAACCCGACATATATATATATACTGAGCTTGATTTAAAAGAATATCTTTTAAATAGATCTGCTCTCATAATCCAAATATAATTACCAATCAAATATCATTTAAGATATGTAGTGATTGATGTCACAGTATCTTACGTAAAGACAATGATTTAAAACACAACGCGGTGCAATTTGTTCATTAAAATTCAGTCGAAAAATTACTTACTGTTCAAGAAATACAGTCATTGATCATTAATTTTCAAGGATAAATTACAATCGTCGATCGCAGTCGCTTACTTGTTAATTGAAATACAGTTTGAAAGGTCTCGAAGTTCATATGTTTCCAGCAGTTGTATCAAATTTCCGACGACCAAAAATAGGTTTATTATGTATATCCTTGTTTTACAACTCGTAGACACGCATGAAAACGCTCGGTCAGTGGGAACGCTGAATGATCGCGCAATTATAGCAGCAACCTTGCTTCTTTCCAGCAATTTGTACCGTTGTGTCTGACGTAAGCTCCCAGCAATAATTCTCGGAGAGCTCTTTATGCTACACGCTCGAATCGATTCTCTGATAGAAACCTCGACCTCGTCAGAAAATCTATGAAAAGAGTGAACTGTATAAAACCCCACGTCTGCATCTCATACTCTATACTTGCGTGATGTACAGTATTTTTTACGAGCTAACAGCTTCTTGTGTTTCTCTTTGTATAAATGTTTTTTCGTTGGAGTAATATTAATATCAACCAGCATTAAAACTCGTGCAAATAAAATAAATTGTAGAAAACTGCATTTATTTTCTATACTTTACATTTTCACGGTTTAGCCTATTTCTGATGAATTCGCTTTACTCGACAACACATGGTAAAACACGAATGTCAGCTTTCTTATTTTTTTAAAGGTCATCCGGATTCAATCCCTCGTTTCTCTTATTTTTCGTATTGTTCAAACGTATAAACAAATCTCATAAAAATCGTTAAAGAAGACCCTTTCCTAGAAATTCGTCACAAATAATAAAAAGTTCCTTCTGTTAGATTTGTTGTAGAAATTAATGATGTAATATGTTGTGGCAGAAAAATATGTACCACGTCGCTGACGATAACGATGGAACCAAAGTCCTGAAGGGAATCCACAGTCTAACAGTGTAGTCATAACGATTTCACGCAGCTAATTCATAATTTTCGCGCGTGTCCTTGCTGTAACATGCGCTGGACACGATGCATTCCGGTTTTTTCCCGATCGTAAATAACCAAGTAACGTCCGTCGGCTGGAACGAGTCCGGGATCTCGATGACGACACGGTTGTTTAACCGCGTGTGCGGAACACTTGTCGGTTGCGCGTGTTTTTCCTACTATTTTTTCCATAAACTACTCTTTCAAAACCTTGTTTTCTTCTTCCATACGACCATTTCTTTTTACTTTTTTTTACGAATCGATCTAACATCAACTATAAACGGAAATAATAATTCTTTATATCGAGTTACGTTGTACTTTTCAAAACAATTTCCTATGATTTTAAATTTAATTGCAATTTATTCCTTAAATAAAACGTTCTATTCAAAACGAAATTATTCCGTAAAATGAGAAAATCATGTCAATTACGTTTTCAGTTTATAGTCGTTTGTTCTTCGCGTCTACGAAACGAGAGTGAATTTTCCTCGTGTAAATCCGATAAAAAACAAACGTACATTTCATCGTGGTACATATTTTTTAAATGTACAGAAGAGTATATCGCTCGCGGTAACGAATTCCTTTCTCTGTTTACACTTTTATCGATATCGCTTATTAAACAGCCGGCAGTGTCGCTGCATAATCTGTGTGTTCCTCTTTGTTCTGCTTCCTTCTCAATTTTGTCTCCGTCTCTATTGCCAACCGTGCCATTGGCGTGCCATATGTATACAATTGCATGCTTGTTTCTCTCCCACTCTCTCTCTCTCTTTCTCTCACTCTCTCCGTCCCTCTTTCTCTTCCAACATTGCATTCCTCTCTGTTTTCCACGCAGAGTATTCTTTCACGTGTGACAAACTGCCATATATTTTTTTGATCACGTAAATGGGTATATGCACTTGGATATCTCGGATTTTGTAACTACAGTTTTATTTACAAAGGTCTAGTTTCTGTATAAAGCAGTTGTCCATATTTCAACAGAATCGTTGTACAGCTTTTTGCTATCATCGTTGATCACTCAATTCAATCTCGTTTGTCTCTCCAGTCATAGTTAATTATTTCGCGTTAAGACGATTCGTAGTATTCAGTTTATTAAGTTCTCTATATCTACAACTTCTTATTCCACGGGAAAAAAATATGTAGTTTAAGGTCTTATTTTCTATTTTTATGTATGATTTCATTTTTATTGCAAAACAGATCATATCATATATTTATGCATATATACATATACCTGCAAGGACTCGAAAGTGATCTAACTAAAATTCATTTGTCCCTGTTATTGATATTTAATTTCGTAATTATAGAATTTTCTATTTAAAGAAACTATCCAGTTAACAGGTTAATAGAAGCCTTGTCTAATTACAGTGAACTACATTGTTCAGAAAATAGGCCAACAGAAAAGGAAACTCCTACACTTGCCGATCATCTAACGCTTCCTTGATCATTTCTACTCTAATTTCCTTCTCCACGCCGTTTCCAATCGAATTACCATTCAACCCGCATAGCTCAACCCCTCCAAAGTCTCTCGAAACGCCTGTTCCCATTTCCGCTCATCAAAAATCCTCATCTTTGCTTTTCAAGTCTCCATCAAACAAACCAAAGTAAAATAGCTATACTGGCTACTAGAAAGATAATTCAAACTGAACACGAAAAATAAATTGTTCATGTACAAAATCATCCTAAAACCCATATAGACATATGACGTATAATCACAACTAACTGGATCTATTCTAACATAAAAATATTACAAAGATTTCAAGATTCGAAAGCTTGACAAAATATATGCAACGCGCCATAGTATAACGCCAACATAATACTTAAAGTTAAGTTACCTATGCCTATAGTCAAATTCAGTAAAAATTCTCTTAAAAGAACTAATCACACCAACTAAATGTACAGAACTCCCTGAGAAGATAAACTGCTTCGCCTTCCATCCGAGCCCTTCCATCGATTACCCAATCTGTCTACGATAGTCTAGTCGCGTTTATTAATCAGTCAGAATAAAACCGACTCGTGTGCTCATCCTATCTCATTAAACGACTTTGCTCCCCTCTCTTCCTCTACGTTCTCTTGTTACTCTGTCTCGTTTTGTCAAACGTTTGCTCGTTCAAACGAACGAGGAACTCCATCTTCTTCCAGACCAGGCCTGCGCTCCCTCTCTCCACGAGCTGACATTCTCCTAGCGGCGGCGCTCGTTGGCTGTGTGTCGACCGACGACGATCGGAGCCAACTTCTGTGACCATCGAGGTTTCGTCCCCTCGTGTTCCGTTTCGTGGCCGGTCAGTCAGTCAGCTCGGTATCGCATTATGCTACGGTCGCAACGACGGTCGCATCCTAACCGTGGCCGAAGCCTCCTCTACGCGACGATACCAGGAATCGGTGCAACGTGAGATCCGATGGCATGCATCCACCCGGAAAATGGGGAAAACCGCCAGCAAACTAAAGTCCCGCAGAAGCCAGAGTTAGTGTCACATTCTACATTTTCTAATTTGTTTTCCTTCTGTTCCTTTGATTTGATTTTTGCAGCAATTTTTCTATTCGAAGCAGTGCTTTGTTCTTCGGCATTGAAATTTCTTCCTTCGAATCACGTGCACGTTAGTTGCGCTATACGATGTACTAAAGTCATTCGTGTTTAGTCAATTTACTGTCCTGTTTGTTTTATTTCCTCGTTTCTTTGCGTCGAAGAGTTTTTCAAATCGAAATGTGGACTTTGTTTGTACAATACAAAGCTGATGCAGATAACGGTACCATTTGCAAGTTATAGTGGAGGATTTTCAACGTGTTTTGAACGTGGATGAACAAATTTTTGAGTTATTAAGGAACTGTATTAGTTGTTATTGAAGTGCGTGCTTTTTCTCTCTTCTCTTTTTTTTTTTTTTTTTTGTTTGAAGGATTTGAAGGAGATTGATGATAGTGTTTTATGCGTATGCGGGAGTGGTTTGTTCGATCGGTGAAAGGAGAGTGATGAGTCGCCGTGATTCAGGGAGCACGTGCTCAATGATGGACGGTCGAGACTGATATCGGTGAGAGATCTCGTGGTCAAGCGTAAAACGACCACGTGAAGTTACGTTTGTACATGTTTAACAACGTTTGTACCACTGAGTTTTTAATTCTTCTTTTAACTTATAATTTAGTCGAACTTATTAATTTTATTAAAAAAATCAAGAGCCTATCGTTTCGACAATAGTCTAATTAAGGTAATGATTAAAAGATCCTCTGATCTATAGAATACAATAACCAATTAGCTAACTTTCTCCGCAGAATATTATCCTCAGAATATGTATACAAACTAATTCCTTATAATTTCTCACAAGGGTCTTCGTACACACTGCAAAAATGCTATTTTCAATGCAAAAATGTGTAAAAATAATATATATATATATTTCTACATTATAGAAAGTAGGTATAATTCTTATACGAATATGTAGACAGAATAGGGAGACAAAAATATTTCTACATCTTAGTATTTTGAACTACAGGTTATGCTAATACTTTGTCAGAACTGTTTTTGTCCTTAAAACGAGTCTTGATCTTTTTAACATAAACACGCTAACTTTGGCGGCAAATTTTGATGTCATTTTATCTACATAAAAGTGCCCTTTTTGCGTATACAGAAACTTACATGAAAGATTATATGTACTAAAAAAATATCCTCTAATCCTGGCTAGAAGAAATAAGCACCGTGTTGCGTGATTAAAGCAACATTATTAGTGAAATTTTGCAAGTCGTAAGTTAACGGCATTGATCAATTTTCAGTTCATTAATATAATTGTGATTAAGAAATTATCATGCAAGAGAATCCAGGACGCTTTTACTTCGAATATTAATTCAGTTATGCAACAGCTGGGACGAAAAATCGTTGGCCAAACAAACGAAACGAAACATCGCGATAAGTCACCTGGCATATCAGCGGTTTATCGTGGAGCTCCGCCTACGCAACGATCGCTTCGCGGGCTGTCGCGTTGTAAGTAAATACACGTGTAGAGAATCACGTTGGAGTTTTATTTGAAAATCGAAACTGGTACGAAGTATGCTAAACGTGGGATGTAGGTCGCACGGTAGTTCCTTCTTGCGCGGGCTGCGGCTGATAAACGCAGCTTGCACCGACCAAACGTCGAGATAAACGCGTGTCTTTAAGGACATTTAAGCGCGCGAAACGTGTAAACGGAGCACACGGGGGCAATCAGACGTTAAATAGTGGACTTGCTCGACATTTTTCGAGAACTCGGCCAATCAGATCGAGTCGACCAACGCACTAAATTTAAAATTATATACTTTCGTAAATTTTCTCCTACATTTTTTGGATTATGTTGCATCGAGGTTGTGGATTGGAATGTAATTTGAAATTTTGAAATCTCGCGATTTCTCTACGCGTCGATCGAAACTCTCGGCGACTCATTCGTCCCTGTCAGCTGTGTACAAACTGAGCCCGATTGTAATTCCCGTCGCGAGGTAAACGCGCATATAATTACGCAGCCACGAAGGAAACGGGGGAATCTCCACGCACGTTTTACGCACGTGAATAAAACTTGTTTTTTAACAGTACGCGCAAAGAATCAGCCGTGTCGAACACTCAGTTTTCGATGACAAAGAAAAGCGCGCGTGTTCTTTCAACCGAGCTGATATAGCTAGCGTATAACGGAATTTCTTTTAACAAAGTTCTCCAAAATTCGTCTGCATTTAAATTCAAAGACTTCCGTTTAAATGCGCAGACGAAAAATCGAAATATTCATGAAAGTTGTAGAACGAGAAGCTTTCAACGATTTCGCGAGTAACTGGCTGTAAAAATGTACCACAAATGAAAAGAGAAATATTCTTGTTCATATCGTATACGGTACATTTGACGGTATGCAGATTTTGCAAATTTCGAACTCTCGTCGCCAATGAAACATTTATGAAGCTGCAGCAACAGGTGAATCAGTGTCATTCAGTCAATTTGTTGATCAAGTTAAATATGATATATGTGTATTAAACTTCCGTGAAACACTTAATTTCTATAATATTCTCTCTCGATATTTTCACAGATGTAAATCCAATAAGAATAAAAAGTGACGAGTTTATCAAAATTTATTCAATCAATTGAATATAATTATCCGATAAATATCGCTCAAACGCCGAACAAGAAGTAATGAATTTATTTAAATTAAATCAAATCTGAAATGTCCAGAAAAAGATTATCTTTCATCCATTGTTCGACACATCGCCAAAAATCCAAGCAAAACATAACAGATCTATTTAAATCAAGCATCAAGCATAAAATCGGCAAAAATATTCCCGTGGTTTGTTCGCTTCGTTCGTGCTCGGTAAAGCTACCTAATCGCGGCTTTTTCGGTCGATAATGGTTCTCCAAACGTTGCATAGTTATCTCGATAAGCGGTTGGCTTATCAGTGTCGCCAGGTATGATGTCGGTGAGCAAGCGAGCGAGCGAATAAGCGGGCGGCGCAAAACACACCTGCATTCCAGCGGCAGTGTTTTTCGAACACGACCAGCCTCGCTCTTCTCCTTTTTTCTCGACTGTCCAGGCTCTCCTTTTTCCTCGTATGTCCTAAGCTCTCCTGGCGGCTCGAGAACTTCCATCATGGCTACCCTCCAATTTTCTTTCTCAAGCACACCGTGAAATTTTCAGGAAGACTTAAAACTCCACTGGTGGCCAGAGAAAATGTGTAGAATAAAGTAGAGTTTGTGCCAGTCGAGAGAAGAGTGAAAGCGTAAATGTAGTGTTTAGAATAGCTTTTATGGTCTTCCACGAATGTCTTCGTTCTGTAAAATCCTATGAAAAGGCTATTTTCATGCAAAGTCGTATCCTCGTGTAATATTACGTGTCGTATCTTCGTGTTCATTTATTAACGCATGAAACGATAATTATTTTATAGCAAAACGCAGTACTTTATGAGAATATTCGAAAGAAGAAAAAGATTGTATTTGTGCAGTCCTGTTATTTCTCAGAGAGATATATAGATTATGCCAATATTTTTAAAGCGAAGCTGTTAATTGGCATAAAACACGATAACTTTGCTGCGAAAGATGTACAATTTTATTTAATAAAGATACTTAAGTTAGAAAATATAGTTAAAAGAAAAGGATCAAAGAGAAAAAAGATGAAGTTTGATTTTTTTTATAGCTGAAAAAGACACGAATAGTTTGTCAATAAGAGTAAAAAAGATGGCGCATTGAAAGATTCTCCTTTTCTTTTGTGATTGGTTTTTTGACGAATTATGGATAAGAGTACATTAAGGTCGATTATGCAGATCTACCGATTGAAAGGAAACGATAAACGTGCATATTCTTGCAATGAATGGACCATTGTCCCCGTCGGCGTTGATCTATCGCTGACATTTCGAGCCCGAAGAATTTTTAGTCACGTCTCCTCTTATCACGATCGAATGATGCATGTCTGTTACTATGAAATTTAACGATTCGTCAATTTATTTTATTATGCGAAATTCTACTATTTCGTATGCGAACATTGAAATTTTTATATTAAACGTCGGATAGTCATTTCAACAGCTCATGCATACGTAAATGAATGAACATTTGCGACGAAAACATCTGTATTGCAAATCAGCAAAAAATGATGAAGAGATAAAAATACTTAAAAATGCTTAGTAAATATATTTCTTCATCCTCATTTCAAAACTCTTGGCAATAGTTACAAATGTATACACGGTTAAAAGTTTTAATACAAAACTTCCATCTCATCAAAATTAAAGATAACATCCGTAGTCGATGGTAGGCAGTAAAAATATTTTTCAAATATACCAAGTTGATGCGTATGAAAATATTGTTTGTGTGACCTTTGAATTTGGTGAACCAATATTACTCATCAAAATTTTATTCTACTTCGACAAATATGCACCAGTTTAATAACGAAAGAAGAAACTACTCGCAAAATCTTCTATATGTATCTCAATCTACTGGTCCTTCCCACGAGCGAAGGAAACTTTGTTACGTGCAGCTGGTGCTCGAACCGTGTTCCTGAAAATAGAGCGGAACGGTTGTTTGGAAATGCTCTGAAACAGGTACACTTTCGTGGCGAAGAATGCATTCCGAGTCACGCAACTGCCGTACAATTCGCTACTCAGCACTCTTTCTCTTTTTCTTTTAAATCGTCCAATGTAGCGGAAAACGAGAAAACGAAGACGAGGAGAAGCATCTTTGCTTGTCTAGAAATACCCGGCGAAAAATCGCGAAGTTTAACGGGGGAACATGGTCTCGTATCCGCGACTGGAAAGGCTCGAGAACAGGTTTATATCCGCGCGTGTGAAGGCGAGCGAAGATAAACGAATCGAAGCGAAAGTGAGCCGAACACTTCAGTTTCTGACCAACTGTTCTAAGGATCCACGTATGATCCGCTTGTCAGATGTGGGTACGAGTGAATAAAAACGTAATACCTCGCGTGTACCGCGTATAAAACGATTTTCAAATCGGAATCATTAAATCGATGATGAACAATCGAGGAAGATTCCACGACTTCGATAACGAGCGCGGTTGTTTCGTGGCTGCACCTGCGATCGCGTTCTCCGTGAACACGATGCAGTGATCCGGTCAGAATTCCAGAGAAGGACGAGCCCAGTTGTACCGAGCAACATTTTCCGAAAGTGATACTGATCCTAACATACGTTTCATTTCACAATTTTATGATTGAAACGGAACGACACATTTTTTGATTTTTGGGGTTAATGAACGACAGGTGGATTGATCATAGTGTAAAATGTAAAGTGAATGGTTTGATCGTTTGAGGTGGGACTGAGACCAGAGGAGGGGTAGTATAGTGAAAAGTGCATATGCAGTGGAGGATGTAGTCTATGCAAGGGAGAGATGAGACTTTGATTTCAATCATATAAAGATAGAAGGAATGGTAATACGAATTATGAGAGCAGGTGCAAGAAGCTCCTATCTCGACAAATAAAACTGAGATCAGAGTCGGGAAACTCATTAAAACATCCCAAAAGCATCTTTCGCAACAGGACTCGTTAAAGTGCTCATATTCATACATAATTTCCTATATCTTTTTGTTCTGTATCAATTACAATAAAAACTTCAATTCCACGAAGATTTAAGAAAATAGTAGTTACCTAATAAAGAAATTCCTAGATAAAATTCCTTGATAGGACGACTACGATCATAGCCTGCCTTGTTGAGAGGCGAAAGAGAAACCCCGATAAAGACATTAACTGCACCGATCGTTTGTACACGAAACCCGATGAAACCATTTGACGTAATCGCGATGGAGGGGCGTTGGCATCTCTGTTGGCGATAGCAAATCGCGAGCGAGTGGTTTTAAACGCTATCATTCGTCCAAGTGATTTGCACGCTGACCACACGGCCAAAGTTATTGATTACAAATAAATAACAAACAAAAGTGAGTGACATAAACGTGAGCTGATAAGATTCATCCACGAGTAAGTGGCACGGATAGCGATGATCGTAAGCGACAAGGATCGCGCGCGGAAAAGTACCGGCATGCGTGAGTATTAGAGACGAAGGATTCGAACTTCAGATTAACAAGTTTTTCTTAAATTACCTATGTATCGGCAAACGTATGGGCAATTTGTCGTTCGTATGATCGATGAGTTAGAAATTTCTTTGCATAGAGATCTTTACGGGTTCTCGATGAAAAACAAAGCGATTCGATTTGCTCTCTATAAGGAACGAGCTAATTTGTATTCTTGATGGAATGATAGATTATAATGAGACTAGGTACAGCAAGCAAATGAGGACGTTATGGAATATGAATCACTAAGAAATGTGTAATAGATGTTAGCGCAAGTTGGAAGTGATGTTTCTTTCGTCGAGGTTGATTGTTCTTTTTTCGAGTCACTAAGCTTTGTAAGGGAAAGTATAGCAAATGACCTTGCTCGATAATTTGACAGAATTGGTTTTCTGATAGTAATAGGATTACTGAGATGCAAGAGAAGATTCGGCGAAATAGCTTGTTCTTCATATCGAAGCTATAGTGTTCTTCTATAAAGATGTACAGTTCTATAATCTTCTTTCTTCTTGATATTGATATGTGATATATGATAATTTAATTAAAATGTGTATATATTAATAACATTTCATCTAGAATCACTTTGAAAAAATTTTAAAGAAGATTCCAATTTTTTCGGATGATTCTCGATGAAAGTTAAGAGTTTGTTTATTTCTGAAAACACAACTGCATGTAATAACACACTTTTCGATAATCTTCAGGCATAGCATGGAGCTTCCGGTTTCCATCTATGGGCACCCTACAAAACCTAGGCGCCAGTGGCCGTCGTCGAAAGAGAAACGGCATATCATCTTCAACCTCTTGTAAGGAACTCCATCAGAAGCGACACACGATCCACCTACAGCCGGAAGCAATTATTCATAAGGAGCCATCATTCATTGTGACACCACCGTCGCCGGAAGATCCGACCGAGGAGAACAGAAGGTAACTCGAGTGGTGTGTTAACTAACCATAAACTAAACACTCTATTCGATAAAACGACTACTTGAAATCAATGTTATGTACATATACGCTCATATATGGCTTAATTTAAATTAAAATTCCCGGTTATTTCGTAAATTGTTCAATTTAGTTGAATTTTATGCATATATTTATATTATTTACCCAATTCTGAATTTTTAATAATCCATAATTTCGAAGAGTAATATCTTCAAGTTTATCAATCTACGTCCCATAGATCTTTAGATTCCTTCTAATTCATAACCTTATACTGATTTGTATGCTTAACACGTTAAGTGTCACACCAGTTTCACAATGTTTGGCCGTGGCGCCACGATGATTTTTTTATTATGCAATACATATAATGTTGAAATATTACATACAGGAGATATGATACGGTGTATAATCATCATTAATGAATTTATCTCACTGAGGTCACCGATGACCCCCATGGCGCTCTAGTGCAATTTCGCTCGATTTACTTATCCTCAACGATTATCAATTATCTCATATTGTTTCTTCGAATTGCTAAATAATTGTTCTATGTTGTTACGTCGCGGGTTGTACCATAAACCTACCTAAGGTCAAGGACCTTAAATGCCATTAAACATCTTTCAAGTCGAAACGTTCCTTAGGGTTATTGTTCATTGAGATAAAACATGGAAAAAGCGGATTTTTCCCATGTTCAACGGCCACTGGTGGGGACGCACATAATAGATCTATATTTCATGTACAAGTAAAACTATTTTTATATATTTTATATTGCATTAATTTCGTCACACATTGTAGTAACGATGGTAATAATAAAAAATGCATAACTATTGACATTTGTTCAAATTATGTATTTCTAACAATCTCGGTGCGCCGGTCACCGGTGACCCCCATGGCATTCAACGTGTTAACGATAACCAACATTGAAAATGTATACTTTCAACGCAACTAATCTCCCAAGTTTCAAGTTTCACGTATATACATATGTTAAAATAACATGGGTTCGAAGAACCCTAAAAAGACCCGAAGGACTTTTCAAAAGGATTCGAGTCGAAATTCTCGCGTTATAAGTTATGAATTAGTCTGTTGGAGGTACACCGAGGATACCGGTACGGGAGCATAATAGAGCCGGCAGGTCCTGAACCGGTTTTCCTCGATCTTTGCCTTTCAAAGTGATGTCCTCCCTCGGCCGGTCGGGAATCCCATAGCGGAAAGACAGCACAATGGGGGAAACTATAAACGTTCCAGCGATACTTGTAGCTGTTTCGTAATCCCTTCGGAAATCTGTGCGACAGCACATCGACCGATCCTTGTCCCGTTCATGTCGAGATTTATCTGAACATTGCATCGTTGAAAACTATAAGAACTGGCATTTCGATCGTTAATGACTTCATAGCTTGACCGATATGAATTTCAATAAGTTAAACGCAGCGTTAAATCGAGCGTGGTTAACGGAGTGTAAAGTGACGTTGGAAATTGATTCATTTTACGCTATGTTGAGCAGGGATTGAGTATGATGATGCTAATGATCGGTATAATTAAGGTACGGTAGCGCCTCCATGTTGCAGGGAAGTCGTAAAATCGGTCAAGCAACGAAGTTATGATAGAGCATGCCAGTGAACGAATTGACCGAAACTTGAGTAAATTGCAAAATTTCATCATAAATCATTATGTCATCACGTTAAATTTAGTTCAATCGTGTACTTAAGTTCATAGGTATCATCTTGTGCTCTTTACACTGATTTTTTTCATTGCTGAAAACCTCTTCTGCGGTAACTTTGAGTTACTTCTCTTTGCTGCTACTTCTTTTTCTACGATATATCATTTTATTTCTTTTCTTATTTCTTTCTTTTTTAAATTCTTTATACTGCTTTGTCTATTACCAAGATAGAACGTTCAGATGTCAGAGAAAAGATTTTTATCCGAATAATTCCTACAGATTCACAGAAAATAATTCGCTCAAACTAAGAAGTTCATCTAGTCGATTAACTTACGAAAATTACTGGTGGTTTCAATGAATGAGTACTTTCATAGATCTTCTGCGAGTTTCTATGAACATGATGGGGAGGATTATGGGTAAAACCAGGAGCAGTGTTACACAGAACGATGCGCATGCGTGCACTTTCGCGCGAATCGCTGATAACGCGAGTAAAGTTCTGTCGCGTTGACATTATAGCTAGGGACGATAAGAAACGCTGCATACTTCTGCGAAACGTATCCCTCACGTCTACGTGTAATTCCAGTTGAAAATTGTTTTCGTCACGCAATCAGTTGCAGTTCGAAACGGTAGACTGTTAGACTCAAAATGTAACAACTGGCGCGTACGAAACAGTAGAAAAGAAATAACATTCTATAAGTTATCCGAGACAAATTTTTATATATGATTCTTAATCTTCGTATTTTGACTATAATTTTTCATAAAAAATTAGATATAACATCCCAATTCATCTCAATAAGCTGTTATTTTAAAATTTAATACCTGATAACAGTAAAATTCTGTAAAGAATTTAGAAAGATAAGAAAAAAAACTGACGAAAATCATCCTAGTGTGATCGATTGACCTTGATAGCATGTATTTATGATAAAAATGACAAGATTTTTAAATAAACGCATGTGTGCTATGTTTCGCGCATGCTATGTTTATAAGTTTATACAGATGCTTCAGTCCTTATCGCGAAAAGAATAAGAAGAAAAAAGGATACTATCAAACAGTACGCTATACGCAATTTTTTCAATCGCACAATAGAATCACGCGTCAAATGATATCAGACGCGTATAAAATAAATTGTGATAATCTAATTCGAAAAAAAGATGTTAAATCATAGCTTGATACCTATGTAGAATAGTCCATAGAAATAGATCTAACAGATATAATATTTGTATCCATTCAAAAGGCGGTGTCCACATGTTGCATCACGTGTAACCAAATAATCTCGTATATTTAGAACATATTGGGACGCTCGGTTAAATTTGTTTTTTTATTCGTAAGTAGGGTGACGTAGAAAAATATGCATCTGTCGTTGCAAGTGGAATGATCGTTTGTTACTGTTTACCAAGAAACATTCTCCTACTCTTAAATCGGACAGATCTATAACCCCATAAACTGATTTATATTATTGGCGTAATCATTTTAATTTACTAACAACTCTTATTCTTAATTTCATTAATTAACAGTCACACGGACTATTATCAAACGGACCTGATACTGTCGTAGACCTGAGACAGTACTCTCGCGCCCTTACATCGATCACCGAACGATGCACTGCCTTTCCAAGCTCAGTACGAACGAAACAAATGCACAGATGCGTTTTATTACACTTATCGAGCGCCCCTATTTCACGCAGGCGCGCCAGGCCCCCATATGCAACACCCTGTTCCTGAACAGATCAATAACTTTCGCGTGTATCAACTAGGCCTAACGTGGTATCGCGATAACGTTGAATTTCTCCATTGACATCAACGAAAGCCTCAAAAATCGAGAGAATATCTCGCGCTCGAGTTCATCGATCGAACGACCGGTGTCAACTCGAATGTTGAAAGGCACTCGAGAACGGAGAAAACGCAGGCGTGGGTGAGAACGCGATGAGACACCATGGGTACGCAGTAACGTACTTAGTATATTAAAAATGCAATAAAACGCACCGTTCAATCGTTTTAAACTAAACTTGGCTTCTTTGAATCATCTTCATCAATCGATCATCCTAATAAATCCTTCGATCGTCGTATACCATAATCGAGTACTATTTTTACTTTAGCTGCTTCTAAGAGATAGCTGTCTATTATTTTGAACTCTTGACAGTTTTCTAATCTGAAGAAGTCAAGATTAATTTACAGTAAATCTAAATAGATGTATCTAAGTAGATCTGAGTTTCTTTGAAGTGGTTGTTAAGTTAATTATAAAATTTTATCGGTCGGGCATATAAATGCTATCTTTGCTCATTTTCGTAGCTGAAATATAACGTATGTAACATGAAATTAACGAAATTCTATGTATACAAGAAAATAATGAATTTTAATTTGAATAAAACAAGTTTTACAACGAATTTAATTAACGAAAATTAACGAATAATAAAAGCACAATAATAGTACGTTAATCCACGATGTTTCAATGATCGCAGAAGAAAACAAGAAAAGGATGAATTTTAATAGGTTTCCAGTCAAACGAGATCGCAGCATCTATAGGGAAGGAAGAGAAATATTTTCCTTGGCTAGAACGATGGCCGAGTCGAATTCGTCTCCACGTCGTTCTATTAATATCTCACGGGGCGCCCCTCTGATCCTCCAAAAATACGGCCCTGCTCCCGTCGTGGCTTTCCACGCACATAGTTCAGTGGGGTGCGCGCGCTCGGCCCGAGAGCCGTGTGGCCAAACCCTGTCTTTACGATTTCTCGCGGCATCAAAAGAAAATTCTTTGCGCGCGATCACGTTCGTGGAACGCACCGTGTGTTCTTTCACCTTCGACGAGAGGGAAGGTTAAAAGAAACAAGTTGAAAGGAAAAAGGGTTGGAGAGATGCACCGAGGCGAAATGTGAACGATCCACGGTGTAAAGTTGCTTTTTCGACGCAGGTCGTCGGAGGTAAAGGTCGAGGAGGCGGAGGAGGAGGTGGCGAACAGAAGGGAGGACTGCGACGCGTGCGAATACGCTGCGAAAAGGGTTGACAACAGTAACGACTATTCCAATCTACCAATGGTAAGTGTGTCATTTATTATAGGAAACGTTTCAGATTCGAAGAATTCGGCGGAAAAGCGTGGAATCTGCGATAATAGGCGTTAATAGACGGAAAAGTTGTTGATACGCAAGACGGTTCGTTCAGTGACACCACTCCCCAGTAAGATATAGATTTGTGAAAATTTTAAAGTTTGAATAAATCATTTTTAATAATTCTCTGACACTGATGATGAGTTTTATACCTAATTTATATTTTTATACGCGAGTCGTGTTTACATAAAAGTAGTAAGTTTGTAGTATTGAACAAAATAATCACATAGTGGATATTTTATGCTGAACAGAGGTTCGTTTAGAATATTTTTAGAAATGATCAAACTAACGAAGCTCGATCTTGATCGAAGTATGATAATGAAAAGTGACAGACTCATCGAAGAAATTTGATGATTGATTCGTTGACGCTACTGACTCGATGATTCAACTTTCACGCGTGACACTCTACTCCAAACCGTTGATAAGTTGTACGCATGAACGCTAACTTCGTTGATCCCTTTATGGAGCGAGTACTCAAGGCTATTCTTGTTAAGCCAATCTTGCGGTCTCGTACCGTCCAGACATTTCTTCGTTGATTGTGGCTATATGTAGCTTATCTTATGCGAAAAGTCGTTTGATAGAAATAGTAAAAATACTCGTATGCCCACGCTGTATCAAATTAAAATACTAGTATAAGGTAAAGAAATTTAAGAATTATAAAAAGAGTAAGAAGCAAATGCTTAAGATTATATGTAGAAACGTCAAACTATATAAAAAAATAAAATCTTCAGGTCATTAATATTGAAAAAATGCTAATTCCACGGGTCTTCTTGAATTTCTAATGCCTGAAACTCTATAGTCCTAAACTATGTTCGGGAACCTCTCATTTAAAATTCACATTCTCGCTTATCTGATTTAGGATCCACCCGAGGAGTCGACTCGAAAACTTCTGGAGCGAGAACTTCGACTTCTGGATCCCAGAGATTTAAGATCGCACGCTTGGTATCATGGTAGTACTCTTCGAGGTGGTCGAAAGGGCGCTGAAGCGGAAGTACCGAACGACGGTGACTTCCTGGTCCGGGATTGTGCCTCCCAGCCCGGAAACTACGTCCTTACGGTCCGATGGAAAGGCCAACCCCTTCATTTCGTCATCAACAGGGTGAGTTTTTCTGAAGACTATCGCATTCTTTGTGTAATCTTTGCTTTTAAGCAGTAGAAGTAAAAACTTTTGGATAAAAATCCTTTAAATTTTAGTTTTTGTTTTCCAAACTTCTTCCAGCAAGCGTTCTATAATTTCCTATTAATTAGTGTTCCGATAGAATCAGCCGTTTCTTTAATCAGTATTCTGATAATCAAGTTTCTACTGTATTTAAAACCAAAGATTTCTAAATTTTACTTTGAAAAGGAAAACCCATAAATGTTTATAGACTTACAGTTTTGTATATTTACACATTAGCTTTATTCGCTTTTCCATTCTGTATCTGCGAATATAATAAGAGAACTTCAAGTTTTGATAATTGAGTTTTTACTATACTTTTCTCACCATTATCAAGAAACTAAATAATCACTATCGATAAACTAAAGACCTCTATACTAACAGGTAGTAATTCAGCCAGAGACAGTCTACGAAAGGGCCCAATACCAGTTCGAGGACGAAGCGTTTGACACGGTAGCCGATCTGATAACTTTCTACGTGGGCAGCGGCCGTCCGATAAGTCAAGCGAGTGGCGCTCGCATAATCACTCCAAAACCAAGATGCGTTCCTCTAACCTGCGTAGCAGGACCAACAAACAGCCAACACTGTTCTAGCCCTTCCTCCTCGTCCCTATCGACCGGATCTCCGCCTCGCCTACCTCGAAAACAACAACGAAGTCACTCTCTAACCGCTCAACATCATCCATCTGATCAACACGATAGTCGTCAAACATCGAATCAACAAGCAGCACCCCATGGACCGGTCCAATCGAGCACTCTACCACGAGTTCCACCTATTCAGAACCAACCACCATCGTGTTCCTTATCTCTGGGTCGTCAGAAGATCACCAGGGTGACTTCCGACCCGGCTCTCCAACAACAGCAACAGCCAACTCTTCAACCATCGAGTTTGAATCATCAAAATTCACATGGCACCGCCCCGCCAAAGCCACCGAGGCTGCCATACGCCCCTAATCACCAGCATCACGCTCATCACCATCATCATCATCACCATCACCATCATCAAGGTTACCAAGCGTCAGGAAGCGACAGCGGAAACGGATCTGGAGACAGTGAGTTCGAAACGAACAATTCAGGCGGCGCCAGTAATCCGTCATCCTCTGCTCCTATCAAAGGAGTCGTGATTAGAAGTCATTATAACACCAGTAATGATGGTACCAATGGGAACAATGGCAACGAGTATGAATTATCCGCAGAAGAGCAGCTAGTTGTGGCTGCACCGTCTTTAGAAATCACGACAGCTTTGGATATCGAAGGATTTACGACCCTGTTATTGCCAGCTGGCGAGCATAGACCTCTAGATCCTACAGCTTTAAGAGGAGTGTCTGGAATGTTACACGACTCGGCACCAAGAGTCTTGGCGTCTCATCTAACGAAGATCGACCTGGAATTGGCTCTTCAACCTGGATCTGGGAATAGAAATGGGCTGAGTGGTATCGAATTAGCCACTCTGCCGCATGGTCGACAAGCCAGGATGGATTTGATCGAAAGATCCGAATGTCTGAAACTTGTGGTGGCAGTGACTGTGCTGGCTGGAGCCACTGCCATCGAAAGAGCAGCTACGATCAGCAAGTGGATCAAAGTCGCCATAGATACGAAGACAGCTCTGGGGAATTTGTATGGATTCTGTGGCGTGATGCTTGGTCTGTGTCTGCCTCAGATACAGAGGTTGGCGAACACGTGGCATTTGTTGAGACAGAAACATACCGACGAAGCTTTTAATTTTGAAGCGAAGCTCAGGCCTACGCTTCGTGCTATGAACGAGTGCACGAATCCACAGGCACCGAATACTACGCTCCCACATCTGTTGCCCATCGCTTTGCTCGGTGAACGAGGTCCTGAAGATATTCTTGGTGCGTTGAATAAAGTTTCTCTTGCTTTAATGGTAGATCTTCGATTCGAATTTAATTTGACACTGAATCCTAAAAAAAATCGTTTATAAAAATTAATTTTTATTAATTTGAATTTTATTATAGGAAGAATATATTTTTGCTAGTATTGGCCATCTAAACTAAAATTTAACATCGGATGCGTAATAAAATTTGAATCGTATCGTTTTTTAGGGACCGTAGCCCCATCAGGTCTAGCAGCGGCAATTCTATCGCCTTGGGAGAATTCAGCCCCAGACTGTGGCCTATCCATCGTTTGGTCTCACTTGGAATCAGCTCGAAAAATGGCAGAGAATCTCCCGTTATTCCGTAGAAACGCGGAGATCGTTCTCGAGGGCTCGAGAAGCGACGAGTTACTATCTGACGCGTTTCGAACGGAATTTCATATAAAATTCCTGTGGGGAAGCCGAGGGGCCACCGTAGCACCGGAAGAGAGGCATTTAAAATTCACGCAAGTGTTAGACGCGATGTTCGACAAGTGTTCATCGACGGAAGTGGCGGCCTAAACGCGATCAAAGGAGAATATTATAAATAGAAGTTCGATTTATCTTGACGTTACTCGACGTTTTTAAATGAACAGTTTTCTCGCGAGAACGAGACAAGCATAAGAAACAAGGGACCCGAACATATTTGCGTTCGACTTGCGTTCTAGGTGTAAATTATGATTCTGTAATTATGTAATTAAGTGATTGTAGTTAATTGTACTTTCGTAGGGTTTAGTATTTTATTTAAAAAGATTCACGATTGTGTGGTCGAATGTACTGTTAGTTGACTATGCGTTAGAACTTTTTGAAATGTATGGCAAGGTAGGATTATTTGAATCGGTAGAATATTTCGATGAAATTAAACAGTTCATCTTGTAACTTATTAAATTCAGTTATGAACAATTTTTTCGCGATCGACATTTTAAGATAGACTGCTTGATTCGTTGTTAGTAGCCTGATGAACAACGAAATTATATGATATACATTGACGCTCGATCATAGTTTTCGAGAAGGAATAAGTTCTACTCATCAAAAGCTAAGAAGTTTGTTTAATTAACGTTAATATTACTTAATCATAACCGTCATAGTAATTCAGTAGCGCATATATATTACTTTATTTTTGTAAATTATTTTATTATTCGTTTTATTAGTTCTTGTATAATACCTTTTCGCTGATTCAAATAATCCTAGCTTATCCTGCCATATCCGTTATCGAGCCGTTTCCTCGCGATTCTCGCAATTTTTTGAATTGTTTCTTCAAACGAGATTGCAAATCGTAATTGTAACTCGTGCAACGTGATTTTTCCATCGTGGCGAATGACATCTTTTTGTAAAAGAAGAAATAAAAAACAACGAAATAATAGGTGTTTTGCGATAATAATTCGCCTCGATGGTGGAATTGTATCTCTAAGGAACAAAAAAATCAAAAGCAAATAGCATTAACCTGACTTGGACGTATAGTATATCGCAGATGTAATGATAAAACGTGTCGTATTTAGCGCAATAACGATTCCCGAGAATGTTTAACGATCCTTTTATTATTAACAGGAAAACCGTATTTAACGTCTTGGAAGAAAAGTGGGCGACGAGAGATATGATAATCAAATCGAGTTGAACTTGTCGTGTACTTAACGCTCTAACCGATCCTATTATTACTCGACCGATTATACGTTGTAAATGTTGTTCACGTTTGTTCACATTTAATAATATATACGGAGAATGAAAATCAACTTCGCCTTTCAATTCACCCCCTCTCCCCTCCTGTCGATTTTTGATATATCTTCTACAAAGATATTATAATATTCATATGTGAATTGTGAAACTGATATTAAAACTTTCTCTTTATTTTGCACAAAATACGAGAGGAAAGATTATTTTTACCAAAGAACAGAGATTCAAATACACATCAGGCTTCATAAATATTCAAAAATGCTTGTAAAAAGTAAAAAATCCGTAAGTAAATATGTCCGAGGACAGTATTTTAACATGGCACTTGGTAAAAGCCGCGTCTAGTGTCATCTAGTCTTGAACTGAGAGACATCTGGACGTATCTGCTATTGTGACTTCAGCGCGAAGAGATAAAAGAGATAAAAGTCAAATACATACCAAATCTGCATGCAAACTCGTCGAATTGACCACTGATTACCATGGCAGCCATAAATTCCTATTCCTTGGAAGTGATTTGTATAATCAACAAATGATCTGCATAAAAAGAAAACCAAAGATTTAAAATAATTGTATAAAACTAAAAACAATTGCATTAAAGAAAGCAGTAATCAAATTCGAAATCTATCTCGAAAGTTTGTAATATAAACCATGATCATATCGACAGGTTTCGACATTCATACTGAAAGCATAGAAAAGACCGTCTGAAATTTTGAGTCACGAAAAATCAACATAGAAGACACAAAGCTTTATATTCTACGCATGTGACATGCTATGAATATTTCAAACAAAGGCAGAGACATTCTACTCGTTCCCTTCTATCCCGTAAGAACGAAAACTTTGTTGTTTTTCATATTGACTTTTCATGACTCAACTTTCGGACGATTTCCCTATTTATATGATCGCGATATAAATTACCAGAATCTTTAACAGTTACATACGTGACCAACAAAAAAAAGAAAAACTACCAAAGCTAGTTCAAAACTACTTACTTTCGATACAATAAGACACTATTACATAACTATACATTAGTTAAATGAAGCTAATAGTAACCTGTAAATAAAGTAGAAATACGACGCAGTTGAAATTACACACGTCAGGGTAGTACGTCCTTACGCTACGACGCCTGACGACTTTCGACACTAGAATGACATTATACGCAGCAGATTCCCTCGCAAATTCCTGATTGGTTAAAGCGTAGCATTTCGTTATCCAATCAAAGCCACGAACAGAATTAAGATATTATATAACATAAAATCTTCTCGTAAAGTCATTATTTTTCCATTTTTGCTCCGATAATATTAATCATATTCAATCAATAATTAAATACAGTGAATATAGTGTTTCTTTCTGATTAAATGAAAGAAAACAAGTTTTAGTTAGAATATAAGAAAACAGAATTAATATTGGATAGCGATCGTGTGTATAAAGTATAACAAATACTGAATATAATTCAATGAATAGTACTACAACAATATTAAATAATTAATATACATAAATTGATGTTATGAATATATTATTTAGTTTTATTTTTAATATTTATATAGTTTCACAGTTTAATGCTTGGTTGAGTTTATTGAAATGAGGATGTTACTGAATAGATATTTGATGTTTATTAAAATTTTATTTAGGTATTATCCTAGACAAGTTTTTATTCTGCTCAATATATGTTATGAAACTATTAATCATTTATGTTATGATTTTATACCTTTTATTCAATAAATATATGAATAATATGATATTATATTGTTAAATAAAGCTAGCTAGCTAGTATCTAATGGTCTGGTACTTTTATTTATTTTATGGAATCTCTTTTAATCCACGTTTTAAAATATCCGCTCCATGAGAACACCTTTTAGAGAAATTCCTAAGAATAACATTTCTTTTCATAAAAATTCCATAGTAACAGATATTTTCCTAAATGGAATATTTTTTAGAAACGATAAATAACACCCTTATCTCGACTCCTATTAAATATATATATTTCACAGAAATTTCTAGCATATTACTCATAATCGTCAAATGCTAATGATGCCAATTCTCATTCTGACGCAATATTTCTGAAGGCAACAGTTATCAGAAAACAGTTAAACTGCAATATGAATATATAAATATTTGACTGGATATAGAATTTAATCCAAGGTAAAGGTATTGAAATATTTCTAAGAAGTAGATATGAAGTATTATTTTATTTTTTAACTAAATTTTCAATTGAACATACTTATATTGATTTAAAATAAAATATTTTCCTCTACTTTTTATATGATGTAGTAAGAAAAAAATAATATACTGTGCATTGTGGTGAACTAATTAAAAGTTATGTTTTCCGAGTGAAATTTAAAATTTGTACTGCGTTTTAATCAATGCTCTTCATCTGATATTTTTTGCAAAATATTGTATGTAACTATGTACTCTAAGTACTACAGAATCTATGACATTTATAAAGCAATAAAATAAAATAAGCGATAAAATTCATGCCCAATAATTTTATAGACTTTGCGCTATCTAAAGAAAAAATTTTCCCTCTCTAGTTGTACAAAGCAATAAGAATGACATAGCAATGTATTTTCAAATTAAACATGTAAGTACTTTAGCGAGTCATGACTCGGCTGATAATAATATATAAATTTATCTATATCTGGCAATAGTCACCGTTTAGAAGGTGCAGAAAACGAACCAATGTACGTATAGCTTAAACACAATTTAATTTATTTTCGACAATATTCGAGTTAATCTCATTTTCTCTTTGGGTTTACTGGCAAACTATGAAAGTTTTAACTGATTTACCATTAGTATCAAGATTATCTTCGAGAGTCATACGAATTTTAGGATGTAACAAAGGAGTTCTGACATTACAAGGCACAAACACATATCTTGTTGGTACAGGTACTAGGTAATAAATGTCAAATTCATTGGTTAAAGAGGTTGGTGGTATATGATATCTAATGCAAATTAATGTTTATCTTTTACAGACGCATATTAATAGATGCAGGTGAAGAAAAATCTTCCAATGAGTATACAAAAGTATTGCGTGAAGTCTTAGAAAAAGAGAAAGCAACTATTCAACATTTATTAATTACACATCATCACCCTGACCATTTAGGCGGAGTAAATTATGTTTTAGACATGTTAAAAGAAACTGATACCACAGGATGCACCAGTATAGTGTGGAAATTACCAAGAGCTTCTAATGACAAAAACTCCAGTAAACTTGAAACGCAAGTTCAATGGGAAAATTTAAAAGATAAGCAGGTAGTGGAAGTAGAAGGAGCTAAACTTCGTGTTGAGTATACTCCAGGACATGCATCCGATCATGCTTGCTTTATGCTCGAAAACGAAAAAATACTGTTTAGTGGAGATTGTGTTCTTGGTGAAGGTACTGTCATTTTTGAGGATTTAGAAACCTACCTGGCTTCTCTGAGAAAAATGTTGGGAATGCAGGCAAAAACGATATATCCAGGTCATGGGCCTGTAATAGAAGATCCAGAAACTGTAATTAATTATTATATTAAACACAGGTTAAAACGAGAAAATGACATTTTAGGCATCCTGCAGCAAAATGCAAAAGATAATACATTATCTGAAGCAGATATTGCAAAATTTTTAAACATGGTAATAATCATTATTTCATTTTTGATACATATCTAAACATGTGATACATAATATAAAAGTTAATATTTCTAGAACGTTTCAAAACATTTGTGGGATGCAGTAATCTACAGCATAGAGCGTCATCTTGATAAATTAGTAAAAGAAGGTAAAGTGAAAGGCGAGAAAGGAAAGTGGCAAAGTATGTAACTAAAATGATTTTAGCAAATTATTTAATTTAAAATGTAAATTGTTAAATTATCTATAGTGTTTATAAAATGTTTGTAAATATTATACAAAAGGAGAAAATACAATGTTCTATTGTTTCATGATTTATTTATAATCTAATACTATGTCTATACCCATGTCAGTTGAGAAAATCATCGAGAAAGCGATGCTGTGAAACATTTATTCGACTTACAGGAACAAAACGATAATACATTATTTACGAATTTTGTTTTTCAATATTTAGGCTGACAATGCTAAAAATGTGCGTACAGTGTACAATAATTGTTACAAAGATTTTCACGAAGTATATGCCACATAATATAATAATCTGCTTAGTTGATTAATGCATTCATAGTCTTCTTATTTATTTTACGGGTTCATTAAAACACGTGACACGTGAATAGATGCTCGATATAAAATATATACTTTGCTACAAAGACATATCACGACAATAAACGTTTCAATATCTTCATTATAAAATCTGTTTTCTATTAGATAATATTGGCGAGTATTCATACACGCGGTATATAGCACCCCTTATTTTGAACAAAGGGGAAAACCCCGACGTAACATGATGTTACAATATAAATCTATATATACATATATATAGATTTCGTTTATATCTTTAATAAGCTCACTTCATCTAATCATCTGTTTCTCTCTTTGGGTAAACGTAAAAAATATATATATATATATATTTATATGCACTCTATATATATATATAAATCTCAATGATATATATTTCTATGGTATTAATTATTCTTCATATGGACATATAATATAATCTCTCTGTTGTTTTGTATTTGTCTAGTAATTATCGATAACATCATCAACGCAATCACATAATATCCTATTAATTGATATTAATCGTTAACAAAAAATTGTATTTATTAAACAACATACGAAATATATTATACTTAAAAACATATAATAGAAACGACATCAAACAACAAGATGATTCATTTGTTAGAATGAAATCAAGTCAAAGAAAGAAAGATGCTTTAATGTATTAATGAACTCCTGTAGGATTCTAATTCAAGGTACTGTGAAAAAACATAACTTTTGTTACACTCAATTCCGATGGCTCCACTTAAAGTTGAGTGGGGTCAGTACATTGTTGATTATTACAACACATATACACACGTATCGTACTTATAATGTTCCTTTTCCGCAATGAGAAAGACCAATCGCAGATACTTTACAATAGAGAAAAGGCACCTGGATGCGCAAGAGACATTTGATGGAGATAAATAAAATGAATTATCACATTCGACAACTCGTAGAAAAAGGAAGATAAAGGAAACTCTAATTGTCGCGCTCTTGTGCGCCCGTCTTACTTAAAACATTAAAAGTTTTCAATTGTTACAAAGGTGGTGCTAACTTCGTCCATTTTCATCATATAAAAACGGATTTCATATCTATCACATACAAAGTCTGAAACGACAATGTGGCACAAATATATAACTCGTACCGAGCCAAGACTATATCTCTCATACTCAACTGGTTGGAATTAATTACTCTCATTCGTTCAGTCGTTCTCTCTCTCTCTCTCTCTCTCACTTTCTCTCTCTCTCTCTCTCTCTCTCTCTCTCTCTCTCTCTCTCTCTCTCTCTCTCTCTCTCTCTCTCTCTCTCTCTCTCTCTCTCTCTCTCTCTCTCTCTCTCTCTCTCTCTCTCTCTCTCTCTCTCTCTCTCTCTCTCTCTCTCTCTCTCTCTCTCTCTCTCTCTCTCTCTCTCTCTCTCTCTCTCTCTCTCTCTCTCTCTCTCTCTCTCTCTCTCTCTCTCTCTCTCTCTCTCTCTCTCTCTCTCTCTCTCTCTCTCTCTCTCTCTCTCTCTCTCTCTCTCTCTCTCTCTCTCTCTCTCTCTCTCTCTCTCTCTCTCTCTCTCTCTCTCTCTCTCTCTCTCTCTCTCTCTCTCTCTCTCTCTCTCTCTCTCTCTCTCTCTCTCTCTCTCTCTCTCTCTCTCTCTCTCTCTCTCTCTCTCTCTCTCTCTCTCTCTCTCTCTCTCTCTCTCTCTCTCTCTCTCTCTCTCTCTCTCTCTCTCTCTCTCTCTCTCTCTCTCTCTCTCTCTCTCTCTCTCTCTCTCTCTCTCTCTCTCTCTCTCTCTCTCTCGCTGGCTCGCTCACACATTTCCTTTCCCTCACGCCTTCTCTCTGTATCCTAAGATACATCGAATACACAATTATATTTTAATGACAAGAATACGGCAGTACTACATAAGAAAACCGTTTTGAGGATCGAAGCAGCTCGGATTTATGTAGCTTAACAGATCATGCTCTGACATCGAGGTAAGCTCTTGAGGCAACATACCATCTTCCTGCTTTCTAACAGTTGTACCGTTTGCACTATTAGCTGCATTTGTTATAGGTGGGTTTACATTTTGACTGTTGGGTGTTTTATTCGCCACTTGTTCAACGATATTATTCTGACCTGAAGGTGATTTAGGCAAAATACCCTCCATAGCACTGTTCATTAATTGCGCGCTTTGAGTGGCCACACTATTTAATATGTTCTTCGTTGCGATAATGGCGTGCGCGGTTGTCGTAGTAATGGGTCGATTGTTAATAATATCTTGAGTAGCGTTAGTAATTACATTATTAATCGCTTGCTCAGCATAATTAGTTAGCCTTTGTTGAGATGGTTCCTGGGCCGCTCCACTCGCTAGAGCTGAACTAGCTTCAGCAACGAAACCTGCCGGCTGATTTAACATGGAACCGATATCTTGTTGCACCGCCTGTTGCATCGCTTGAGCCGCTTGCGCTTGCTGAACCGCTTGCTGAACAGCTTGAACTTGTTGTACAACTTCCTGCGTAGCTTGCTGCACCGCTTGTTGAACTACTTCCTGCGTTGCTTGCTGGACAGCTTGCTGAACTGCCGGTACTTGAACTTGTTGTACCGCTTGCACCTGTTGTACAGCCTGCTGGACAACTTGCGCATGCTGCACCACATGTTGAACAACTTGCTGCTGCGCCTGTTGCACAGCTTGGACCGCTTGCTGCTGTGCCTGGGCGACAACCTGTTCGACTTGCTGTTGCGCTTGTGCGACAACCTGTTCCACTTGATGCGCTTGTTGAATCGCTACAACATCTTGTTGTATAAGACCCGGAATCTGCGGAATGTGCTCCGCCGCTGTCGACATACTCTCGTTCGTAACTTGTAACGGATTATGAGATGGTACACTAACGTTAGAATTCGACGTACCGGTCGCAGCCACGGACGGCTCCTGCATCGACGGTAAAAGAGCAGCGTTGATAGTAGTGAGCAAACTATCGCCGTTAGTCTGCTCCGAGACCACTGATGCGGGCGATGGAACGGACGTTGCAGCATTCCCTGGCAAAGGTGTCACGGTTTGACCCGGCAGGAAAGCTTCGAGAATCGTCTTGACGTTATTTGGTGGACTACTTCTATTTTGTTGGGGGCTCGAGATCGTTTCGTGATCAGTAACTGCGGAAACATGACTCATTATGGTATTACTATTGGGATTTACGGTACGCAGAGGGGACACCAATTGATGAGATTCAGCGCCAGAGTTAACGAGAGTATCTAACTTGACGCCTTGAGGGGAAGAAGCTAAAATATTGGAAGCTTGTCCTTGCTGAGGCTGGCGTCCTGTAGTAATAATGGAAGCTCGTTGTTGTATGGTACCTACGAATCCATTCTCTTGACCCTCAGCCTCTTTGACGTTCGATTCGATATGGTTGAGATATTTTTCTACGCTATGGGCACTCTGTGCAGGTAGCTGTCCGTTTGATGTAGCGGTAAAATTTGGTAGTGTAGCGAACTCCGACTGATGATGCTTCATGCGAAGATCAACAACACCGCCGCCCTGAAGACTTCCATTAGGACTGCCTTCTGCCGGCAACATCGGATTAGTTTCTTTGTTGATATGATGAGGACTTAGAACTTTGACTTGAGATGTTTCGTGCATACCTCCGAAGGTGTTCTGGTGTGTCGACACCAACGACAATGGATGTGGATTTCGCATTAGATCTACCACGCCGAGGAGATTGACCGCCTCTTGCACAGGTGAACCGTTCGCCGTCACAGGAACTGACCTAATCATATTAGCCTGAGGTGCTTCCCTCGAATTCTCGCTGACGAGCTGTTGCAACGGGCTGGTACCATTCGAACTGTTCGCAGTCGGCGTCGGTATACTCTGCATGCTGTTTTCGCTAATCATACTGTTTTCGCTATTCTCGTCTAGTACCTCGGTCTTCAAATTATCTGGCAGAATTAATTGAAGATTCGAAGATGATCTGCGATTTAAAAGCGGATTCGCTACCAAAGCTGGTGGCGGCATCATCACGTCAGGCGGTGAATTTTGACAATTTGAACTTTGTGCAGCCCACATCATAACGGGTGTTACCTGAGAGGATGCCGTCACCGGTGGCGGACTTGGATCGCTCTTAAGAGCTTCCGGTGTTTGAGATGTTGGCTGTTGTGGCTGTATAGTCGTTAAGAAATTTGCTGTTCCTGCGGCTGCTTGTGTAATCAGAGCTGAAACATCATTACTTTGTATATATACGTCTAATATCTACAAATCATTTATAAACGATACTTCATTTGATTACTTCCCTTTCTGTATGTTTAATTGTCATAATCATATAATTCTTTTAAGAGAGGACAAGAGAGTTTTATTACATACAAAGATGAAAGATTCACTTACTGTTTGATGTTACACCTGTAGTTAGAGACACTGCTGCAGGAGATGTTGCTAGAGTAGTATCACCGTTAGTAGTGGATAGAGGCGAAGTTATAGACTCGATTTTGCCCACAGATGGCTCGGGTGGCGTAGATGCAGCGGTATAAAGGAAAGTATGAGGCTCGCTCGTTTTTCCAGACGATACCGCATACAATTTTACGCTAACCGTTTCCGAGGGTGCCAGATCTTGCCGCCTGTATGCAGGTACCACACAAACCAGGTGCGTTTGTTGCAGAAACTCCTTGTCAGGTAGAACCGCGCACTCCCAATGCGGCTCCAAACTACTCGATAGATCATCGTTGTCTAGTTGAAATACTACGCGAGTATCTTTCAGAAAATTCTTTCCAAGTATAAATAATTCTAATCCTCCGGTACATGGACACGATGTGAGTGATTTCTTACAGATCTCCGGTATTCCCGGTGGTTGAGCTAAAACGATCAATTATATCAATGGAATATAATTATCACTCTTTTATTTTAGCAAAAAGATTTCTGATGTTTTAAGAAACACTTTATATTTATCAAAAATGACTTTTCCCACCTTTTTTAATCTTAAAACATTCGCTAAGGATAAAGAAGTCGATCGAATTAAAAGAACCGCGCCCAAATTAAATTTAATTAAATACAATCTGAAAAATCTTATTGCGATACGTACTGCAAACTATCGGTTGAGAACAAACTTGCAAAGTTTCCGAACTACCATCGGGATGAGTGATTCTAGTACGAAAAACCATGCGACAACGAGTTGATTTTTTCTTGCTACGTCCTTGAAGCACTCCGGCTTCCTGAGGGAATCTGTGCTCCACGTCGACGTTCCGTTCTTTCAAAATACCGACGCAGTCGCACGTGACCATCATGTCTTTCGCTGGATCCATGTCCACCTCGATCACGATGGTACCGTCGATTTTTCGTTCGATGCATGGCGTTGAATTTTTACCGCTTACACGGCAAGCTTGGTAAAACATATGGGGAGCGACACGACCAAGATCCGTGCCGATGAAAACTTGAAGGGTAGTTGGTTTATCGTAACCAACGAGACGAACAATTGGAAATCCATTTCCGGTTCGATCCTTCACTGCTCCTCTCGAACCTTCCGTCTGATAACGAGCTCTGTGCTGCTGCTCGGGTTGACAGATAATTTGCAATTGCACCTTTCCATCTGTAGAAGCAGTACCTGTAAGTTGTACAAAAATACCATATTACAATATGTTCAATCGAACCGAAGATTCGAAAATTGTTGTCTTCGAAGCTTAAGCTTCGTACGTTAAAAAACTTCGTTATCCTTCTCTGATTTAATTATCAGGATATAGAAATGATACCGAGAAAAATATGTATCGATAAATACGATTGACAGTCGTAAAAATATGCTGATTTCTCTGGTTCTAACTTGAGAAATAGAATTGTGTAACAGGCATCATTCGCAGATATCGTTCTTATAATTCCATTCTTTCCGAACGAAGAGACGAGGAGTCGACGAGGGAAAAGTGTTTTAAGTTCTCATTTTAATACGAAGAGAGGAAACAACGTGTGAAAGTTATATAATTTCGTTTGACCTATATTCGATAATGCGTTTTCATATCGGTGAAACAATATCGACGATTTATTTTAACTGGATATTGAACGGTTCCTAAACAACGAAGATAACTTATCGTTACGGTAAAAAGTCTGACGGGAGGTGAAATATTTCGCCAGAAGTGGACGTATCGAACTAATGACTAGCCGAATACCAGCGACAATATGGTCGAAAAAAAATCATGCTAGCCGAAGGTTATCGGTTTGTATTATTCTCTAAGACAAGTTACAAAAATTTGTCGTCTGTGATCTTTTTCGCTTTCCCTTTCCTTCTTTCTTCCGTCCTCCTTTCTGTTCATCATCATCTAGATACAAACAAGAGTCTTCACGCGTAAAGTTTATTTAACATATTTATCTAACGAACTCGTGCCTCCACTAAAAATGAACAATTAACACGCGCCCGACAATATAAACAGTACGCGGCGCGTACTGATCGCTTTGACAACGGTGCTGTCCTCTCGAAATTCCCATTGTAAATTATCCTCTCGAGAAATTCAAGAACATCTCTATAAGACGACGCGGCGACAGCAGGAGTATCGTTATCTCTGCCTCGTGACCTCGCGCAGACCTCGCGACTGGTATCTCCACCAAAAAACCGCAATATCAACGGCAATAAATTTTCAAAGCCGTCTGTCGAGAGAACAGTTTGCTCTCTTAACAAGATCGATAAACTCAACGGCATCGTTTCGGATGTTCGATAAAATGAAAAGGGTTAGCGACAGATCCGAACGCGACACTCGTCGAACCTCCAATGACAGAAGAGAAAGGATAAAGATGAAAAAGAAAAATAATGAGCGCGAGTAACCGCTGAAATATGCGAAGAACATGCGAGAAAAACATGACAAGTCCAATTGTATCGATTTTTTTCATTTTTCATATATTTGCGTAAACGTTCGCAAACTAATTATGAAATTACAATTTTCATAATTTGATATAATATCGATCATCAGATTTTTAGATTCCTTATCATGTTCTTTTCTTATGGTCATCCCGTATTAAAAAAAAAAAAAAAAAAAAAAAAGAAAGAAAGAAGACACATGAGAACAAACGTGTGTCCTGCACGTACACAGTTGAGAGGTGAGGGTGACAGGGCCCTGCTGAGTCCTCTTAGCAAGGACACCCAAGCCTGGACGAGATCTCGAGACTTCCACCACTCTCCCCGTGGCTCCGTTTCCTGTCCTGTTTCCTGAGATCGTAGCTAATCCACCTATTCCATTGGACGAGCCTCTATTGGCCGTCTTGCTGTCAGAATTGGTCGTGTGTGTAACCTCCGGGAAGGAGAAGTTCGCGTCCTCGGACTCCAGCTTAATGTCCATCTTTCTCCTCTTTGAATCCTCCTCGCCGGCGCCGTTCCAAGCCTGTTAAGACCAACAGAATGGATTGATATAGAGAGGCGTGAGTATGCGTGCGTGCAATGTAGCTGCCTTGGTCAATTTAACGAATCAAACCGCTGATCGACCGGGTTCAACTACCGTTAGAGACCGGTCAGTGTCGCCGTCGAATCAACGACGATCCCATGGCGGCTACGAGTGATCGCATTAGATTTCGCTTACGTACACGGTAGAGAGTGGCGTAACTTTCGAAGGAGAAGCTTCACGGGCTTTGACTAAACATATCAAGCGGAGATGCTCTCTTGGGGAACGTTCTCGGGGTTGGTAGGAATAGGATGTTACAAAGAACGAGGGTCAAACGTAGTTTACCAAGCTCTCTCAGTGTTGTTAGATCTTTTCTATTGCTAGCTTTGAAACGAGAAAGATATCTCGTTGATTTGGAAACTATGATTTTGGAACTGTGTGAGAAAGGCAGTCTAATGTACGCTATAGTAGATAACGCCTAGATGACAGATAATGAAATAGATAGTAGATAAGAAGATAATATAAGGCCTTTTGTTATAGAACGACGCGTTAATGGTGAAAGTATCTTACTCTGTTTGTTTTATCTGACGAGATTTTGCTTCGCAAGTCTTTAACGATCGAAAGTGGCTACCGTAAGCGTTCCAGTATAGTATCTGAAATCAGCCGCGATACTTTGGGCAATATCAAGCGCTTAACCAGCCTGTAATATTTACTCAATTATCACGGACTATATCGCGGTCGCGTTGTAAGCAACGCATTATTAAAACGTATGATCTGCGTGAGCCTCGTCCGCGTATAACGTACATACTTATGTACACGAACGTGGCCGAGCTTCGCGGCATTATCCATATATCGCGTTGTTACGCAACACGTAGACCGAGAATAAGTTTATCACTGCATGTATCGATATCAATCAAAGCTCGGTGGTGGCTGCGGGACACGCATGTTTGTGCAACACGATAAAAGTCAGGAGGAGTGAAAAGAAAAAGCGAAGAATAAAGAAAGAAAAAAAAGAATCGCGCGATTTCTTTCGAGTATCTTCACAGATACCGTTGCACGCTTCTGATAGTTTCACAATATTTCTTTTAACAGGACGTTGACTGGATCGCTGTGTGTTGCATACGTACGGGATAAAAATAATTTCGAGACAACAGACTCGCCGGTTCGAGATCTTTCACTTCCTCCACTTCCTTTGCGTGTTACGACACCGGATGAAACACGAAGATATATTTTTTTCTTCCTTTCTCAATTTTCTTACGAAGCCCGTAACAGTTAGAAAAATTCATCGGATAATACAACAATATATTATTTGATAACAGCGCAAATGTAACGCTATTTTCATGACGATAATAGTCGATAATTCCGTGCTTGTTGCTTCTGCCAGTCGCTTTTGTCACGTTCACGATAACCCGCCGCGATATACGTATAAACAAAATGCTAGTAACATCGAAGTTAGCATGCGATAAGTGAACATGTTTCTAACGTTTGAACTGTTTTAAATGACTAAGGAGATCTGCTTTGACGTAGATATATACGTAATTATCCGATTCGTACAGTATCAATGAGTTTGAACGATTTGAAATAATTCCCGGCACTCGAACGATGATCCTCTATCGATGGTTCCGAATTATTTCGATTCATCAACTTTCTAATATCAATTATATTAACATTAATATTAATATTATAACATTAATATTAATATTATTATATAAACTCTGTGCTATCGATCGTAAGCTTGAGACCATCCCTTTGTGAAATTTTGTTACGATTTTTGACCAGACTGAAAAATCAAAGAAATAATCGTAACACGAATCTTTCATTTTTCGATATTGTCCACGTATTCTTTGACTTTGAAAATACACGTTTACAATATTGATTTCGAGATCAATTTAACAGAAAACCGTGAATGATACAACCGCTACGCTATTTACGATAATTCCACTCTCGCTTTGCACTTCGAAGCTGAACAACATATGAGAAATCTTATATACAAAATGACAAGTGAAAGAATGTTAATTCGTCTTAAACCCCCTCCTGTATCGATCAATGATTAAATCTTATTCGAAACGACAATACTACCGATCTTATTTCTGTTCTTTTATCGATAAAAATTTCACTAATTTATATAAGATCAAACAGAGTTCGATATCGACATTAAACGTTTATCAGAATATCTTCTTACAACATCGACGATTAATACTTTTTAATAAATTGCATAACGCGATAGAACTTCGTTTATACGAACAAGTGAATACTAATACTCAGATATGCGAATTCATAGTTAGGCCTCTACTTTCCGAAATATCGAAAGTAATTTTAATTATACGAACATGTACACTCATAGTGAACATAATGCAATCGTTCGAGGGATTCATAACAAAAAGCATCTTTAATATCTGTTCGATACATTTCAAATTTTATAAGCGAGACATTCATTACACGATTCCTATGAATCTATCTACGAGTTAAGAAGAGCTGAAGAGGATAGCCAGTTGAACTTCTATCATAGAAACTATTCGAACTATCCGAACTACTTTAACAATGATTTTCGTATAAACGAGAGTTTACTGTACAGCGAAGTGGTTGGTCTCAAATTGATCGAACGATAGTGTAGTTGACTAACGTTTGCGTTCGTAAGGTGTTGTTGACGGTCCTCGAAGCCGAGGCCGGAATCGTTGGAGCTATCGCAACTGTCCTGTGCCGAGCCGCCTCTCGATCCGTGCTCATCCGAGTTTCGTAAAGATCCTAAGGATATCTTAGGCTGTTGCTGTTGCTGCGATTGTGATTGTTGTTGCTGGCGTTGCTGGTGGCTGATCCTTCTTGAGGCGGAATGCGCGCGGCTACTCGACGTGACGGTGCTTCTATGAACCGATCCTGTCACCGCTGATGATCGACCAGCTGCATTGTTACCTGAAACCATAGAATTTAATGAATAAATAGTCAAAATTTGGATACAACGATCTCATAATTGAATGCGGTTTAATCCCCTACGAAGAACTCAGAATGAATAATATTTTTCAAGGTTTCTTGCATTATAGAAACACCGAGAAAGATACCGACAGTAGTGAAGTACGTAAAGTACGACAGTACGTGTGAAAGTTGGGGATGAAAGTTTGCGATAGAAGCATAAAGCACATAGTAAAGTTTAACTTTGTTCTTTGAAACGTGTCAATTATAATCGTATGAGACTTAAATGAACGAAACACAGGTACCTACCTCTAAAGAACTTTGCTATAAAATGATCGTGACTCGACAATTTTTAACAAGCCGAAACCTTGGAACCATCGAGTAATTTCCCGTTACCTCACCCTACGTAACGTACAAATGACGAGAAGGAGCTTAATAAAACAGCTCGGGCCAATCGACGATCAAAAACTCGCCTTCCCATCAGTTAAACTCGACGAACTCGTCCGCGACAGAAATGAAATCGAGTCGGTCAACAATAAACCGACACCTCGCCGCGCGACAGCGAATCGGAGGGAAGCAAATAATTCAATTCGGACAATGACACGTTCCAAGTCGGAGTTCAAGACTGTCAGACAGGAGTGCAACGATACATGCGTCACCGACCAGCCACGACATTACGATTCTTCGACCATGTCGATCTTCCTTGTCGGCGACGAAGCGTGTTACGTAATTTTTGATCCGAAGTATATTTTTGAAAAAGGACGAACGAGTAACTACGAGAATCGACAATGAGATATGTCGAGAGCATAGAAAGATTCTCGTGTCGAGTATTAGTTCTTGTCGAAGACGAGCAACGTAGTGTCGCAATCGTTGCAATGGAGACAGTGCGATTTGACTTTTATCGAGAGATAAGATTTATATTTATGAGATTCGCGCTTATGAGATTTGTATTTCTGACGATACGATGTACAGAGGCTCCTGACGCTTCTATTAGTCATCACTGAAAAATCGCAACGAAGTCGCGTCGTTCCTCTGAGAGGCATTATCGCGCGATTTTTAACGCGAACGCGACTCTGTTCGACGGCGGGAAAAGAAAATCCGTGGTTATATTTAAATAACCGCGTTCTGTCTGACGAACAGGCGAGAAGCGACGGTTCGACGAGCAGCTTTTAGCCTCGATGCAGCAGCGACTGGTCGTGATTTTCATTTTTCCACTATGGCCGATACAAGCGGTACAGACATCGAGCCGTACAAAGTCCGACAGAGATCGATGATTGTGTGTTAGCGCACTCGTCTCTTCGCAGTCAGAGTAAAAAGACGGGTTTATCTCACGACGATTAACCAGCCGGCGATCGACAAATGGAACGAACAATACGCCGCGTATCACGGATTGATTTTGATATTTTTTCTACGTCTCTCTGTTCCTTCACTTTTTTATTTATTTCCCTGGTGCTTTTGTATTTCCTTTTTCTCTTATCCTTCTTTAATTTCTTCTTTTCATGTCTGTGTATTCATAGAGATTCTGAATGACGTGAATATGTCGTAGGGAGCCACTTGTTGGGACTATCCAACGCTTTATTTGGGATCGTAGAGGAAGAAACGCAATATATATAGTTTTTATATAAAAGACAAAGAGTACAGTTGGCAGGTTTTAAACAGAAGTTAAGCAATTAAGAATCGAAGATTATGTTATTTTAGACTTTTATTTAAAAATCTATAGGAGGAAATATAGGAAGATTTGCTAGGAAGAATGTACGGCAAATTGGTTACATTTAGAGATTAAGTTCGAGACTTAAAAATTATTTTAGGGCAGATCGTTTAAACTGTAATTCTTATTAAAGATTCTACTCTTACTATTATTAGAGGATGATAAAACTGATCCACATACAATAATGTGGCGTAGTTCACTTATCATAATATAACTACATATTCTGTATTTCGTCACAGGCCCCACTGAATCTATTTTCGCTGATAACATCCCACGATAAAATTCTGCGCGTTTCTCTGGTTTTTGCGAGTTTCAGATCTCGTAATAATTCGACTATAAATCCGCCATTCGACGTTTTCGCCCCTGTAAACCGCCATCTCGAAATTCCTTCCAGCCATTCTCGATTGTATCTTAAATATTGGACCTCGTCATTGCTGCGAAACTTTGAATTACGATGTGTATTCGATCCTTCCCTTTGCAATAACAATTTTTGCAATTTTTCCATCATTATGGAATATAATTCATCGCGACCTGGCTGACACATCATCAAACTGCGAATGTTCATACTTTTACGAAGAGAACTAAAGAACGAGGGATGCTCGAGGGATTTGTTTCAACCGCTAAAACTTAGTACCATGTCTCGAATATTTTTCCGTATTATGTTCATTCTGCGCATCTTTGCACCCTTTAAATTTCCCACAAACGCAATCTACGAACCACACAAATATAACATTTTTACACGTATTAACAAATACAACAACACAGAACCTTCACGATAAGCAAATTCCAAGGAGCAATTCCAAGTAAACGCGCGAGCGCAACAATTATCCTCGCAAATAAAACGTAAGTACAGCCGCGATACGTGTGCAAAAGAGTCAACCTCGAGCTCGCAGATAAACAGGGAAAAATGCGTCCGAACGGATTGAAGAGAGAAGCGTTGAGCGAAGAAATGAGAAAAGAAACGAGGAATATCAAGAAACTGGCAGAAAGAGAGCGAAAAACACGATGTGAAAAGAGAGAGAGAGAGAGAGAGAAAAGGAGAAATGGGGAGAGAGAAAGGGAGAAAGAGAGAGAGAGAGTAATATCGGTCTATCTATAGAAGCTCGACTACTGGATGGGATAATTGCGTGGGGGTGAAGTTGCAATCGCACATGCAACTGGTGGTGAGGGGATCACCCCTCTCTGCCTTGCCGCCAACAGGGGGTAGACAGGCCGACGTAATGGGCACGTGCACACACGTGTAAGGTGCATCTATGTGATCGTCGAGGAAAATCACGGGACGATGTCAACGACCTACGTTCGCGACGATCTTCGTCGTTTTCAACCTCGATGCTCGGCGTCGTGCATCGTCGCTTCGTGGCGACACTCGCTACACACCTCGTTATTTCGCTTTTACCTCGCCGGATAAATCGCGACCTGTGCGCGGAATTTAATTACGGCTGCGAGTAATTACGCCCGCGACGTAGACGCGAACGTCTGACGGGATAAGGGTACGCGTTTGTTCCTATCGGCGACGTTTATTTTCCAACCAATTTTCTACTTATTTCGAGTGAAATTCGATTAGCTGATATACGAAATACGTAAATTTGTTTACACGTAGTCTGGTTATATTTAATGGTTACTTAAGAGTGATGCAATCAAAGAATTAAAGCTATCAGATATGTATCATCCGGTAACGAGGTACTACAAACGGTGGTTCTAAATTTGTCGAATTCTGCATAAGGTTGACGCGGTGACTCCACTTCGTTTGTTACGTTCCTCGCTTCCGTTTCGAAAACTGAACGTGCCACTTAGGATAATTGAAAGAGCAGCCATTCCGCCGGCCTTGCAATACATTAAAAGCTTGCCAGAGTTGCGTAAATCATACATACAGGTGGATATATTTCCCGTTTATCGCGCAACGCGTTCCTGTGCGCCGAAAAACACGAACTCTAACCCTGTTTGAAAATCCTACGTAATTCGAGTCAATAAACAAGGACTTTAGATCTCAAGAGGAAGCTTAAAACCGCTTAACGATCGCGAAATATCTTATCGCAACCCTTCAACGATACCAGTTTGATATCAGCAAAGTTGTTGATCGTCTTTTTTTTTTTTTTTTGTTCACGATAGGGGCTTGTTACGGTTGTGAAAGACAACCCCGAAGAGATCAACATGGGCGACGTACCAAAACCACGAAAGAAAATCCAATAATCCAATGATCGTCACCGATTACGAAGCTAACGAAGAAAATAAGGATCGCGTTGGAAGAAGAACAAAGGAAAAAGAAACGACCGCGACGACGAACAACAATTATACAACCTGTGTCAAATAAATTTCGTAGAATTCGTAGTAGAAGGTGTGCAAACTCGTTTAGCTAGCGAACGAGCATCGTTATCCTAGTGTTCGGACTATTCTCCAAAGTAGACTACCAATTTTTCCTGTTCTTACGATATTTTTTCTTCTTTCTCTTCTGTCTCGCTTTCCCGCTGCCTTTCGACTGTTTCTTTTCCTTATTAGGCCTCCCTCTGTCTCTCCTACGCCGTGTACTTACGTCTCCGCCGATTGTCCTCGAACTCGTGGAACATCCGTGCATTTGCGAGTGTACTCCCGATAACAGGATCGATAAACATCGTTACTATTACACGGCAAACAGCACGTCGGACCGCGCGCTAACTATGACGCCTCTCGAGTCTCAAGGATATTGTTACCTGCGCCGATCGATTCTCTCTCTTTCTCACTCTCGTGATCCTTATCGTGTACGATCCGTGGCGTTCACCATCGTGCGCGCGGAAGTAACTCGTATGCAAAAGCACCGCCTTCTTCTACTGGTTTCCCTTTTTTTTCTTTCGACCACTGTTTGTCAAAGTTTCTATAGCAAGACTACGATAATTTGAAGCGAATATCAAATAGTCGGTATCAAATAATTGGCGGCAAAAAAATTCGTCTACTGGTATAACGATTCTTCTATCGGTTTCCTCCTTTTCCTCTTTTCCCTCTTTTCTCTTTTTAATCGATATATGTATTTGTTAAAATTTCTATAGGCAGACTATGATAATTCTAAATAGATGTGAAACAGTTGTGACACAGTTGACGCAGAAATACCGCTCTTCTTCTACCGGTTTCTCTTACTTTTCTCTTTCTATCGTTCTCTGCCAAGACATCTGTAGCGAGACTACGCTAATTGTATTTTAAGTGGATACCATCAAGAACAATATATAATTATAATCGTTATATGTCAAAGAAATAATTAGTGGTTTTGATAATCAGCGGTTTTGAGGTCAGATTAGGCTGTGCTTTATCTTTGATGATAATGTTA